TATAAGAAGAAATCTGGACACACAGACACACCAGGGGTTCATGCGCCTAGAAAATAGACTATGTGAAAACACAGCAAGAAGGCAGGTAACTGCAAGTCAAGGACAGAGGCCTCAGAGGAGAAAACAAACACACACACACACACACAAAACCTGTCACTGCCTTGATCTTGGAATTCTAGCCTCCAGAACCATTCTAGAGAAAGTAAATTTCTATTGTTTAAGCCACTCAGTTTGCGGTATTTTCCTATGGCAACTCTAACAAATAAATATAATAAGTAATGACATAAAATAGATCGCCACATTAATATTAATAGTTCTGGTCAAACAACTGTTGACAAAAAATATTTCAGTAATGTAACTTTAATTTGGACTAGTTCTCTTTATGTTAGGAAGCAAACAGCAAGTTATTTCTAGAAAGATCACTGTATAGGCTTTGAATTTAAGAAAAAGATGGTTCTATAGATGCATATACAGTAAGTACTGGTATATAAAACACAGACTTTGCTGAGCAGATTTTATTATTAAATTTGACAGAAAATACAGTCAGAAACAGAATTAGAGTTTGAACACATGATATGCCAAAGTCCTCAGACTTTAGTCATCCTGAAAAAGAAAAAGAAATTCATTTAGAGGAACTCTGACTTATACAATGGTTTTAAAGTACCTGTCTGTGAAATTTAGTTCTTGACCAAGTAAGGGTAAGTATTAATATTACATAATAATCTTTTTTTCAAAGTAGAAAATATTAAAGTTACCTGTAAAAGGGGTTTTAATGAATACTTGACTCATCTTCTCTTTCAAGACAAGCTTCTGTTCTTTCAATGGCCATATTGAGGATTAAATATAAAGATGAACTTCTACAGATGTAGCAACCACATTTTGGGATGAATATTGGGGGATATAAACTAGAAATATCAGTACTAATTTGTTTTATAATTAGAATAATTTTAAAACTTAAAATTCTACTTAGAACAAAATAAAAAAATCTTAAAATTGTAAATAAAAAACAAAAAAATTCTACTTAATTTCATACATATCTTTTCAAATTCATACAGAAAATTCCAAACAAACCTCTGAGAACTTGTTTTTCAAACTGTAAACATGGAAGAGAGCACAAGAAGAGGCCACACATTATGAAAGCAGAGACATGCCATAGTACAGGATCAGGAAACTGGGATTCTGACCTTGACTAAGTCATTACCATGTGATATTAATACTTTGGATATGCATTTGACTCCTTTGAGGCTCAAATTCTTTTCTTGAAAAATAAAAGGGCTGAATTGCTTTAAAATGTAGGATTTAATGAGTCAGCGATTTAAAATATGATTCAGAACAGATTTAAGTCTGTTAGAACACTTAAATATAAAAAAGGAGTAACTGGGACACATGTGGTGGCAGAGTGGTAAAGAATCCATCTGCCAGTGCAGGATACGCAAGAGACGTGGGTTTGATCCTGGGTTGGGAAGATCCCCTGGATGTGGAAATGGCCACCCACTCCAGTGATCTTGCCTGGAGAATCCCATGGACAGAGGAGGAGCCTTGTGGGCAACAGTCCATGGGGCCGCAGGGAGTGACATGACTGAGCAACTGAGCATGTATACATGTATAGGAGAACTCATGAAAACAGCACCTGGGCATTATTTTCATTTAAATTGACTTCAAAACTTACTTCAGTTTTTGCTAAGCAAGAAAACCAATCATTCCCAAAGTAACAGCTAATTCAGAAATTTGAGAAATTAAAAAGGGCCCTGCAGGTATTATCTTTCTTATATTAACAAATACCATATGACAAATGCCTAGTGTAATATGTAGAACTTAGAGGTGCTCATTACATAGAGCTATTACTTCTGCTTGTTTTGGCACAGCACTAATTAAGGGACCTTATTTCCTGACTCTTTATTCTTTAATCTCCAATATTACTTCCTCCTCACACTTTCATTCCTTTTATGTGGATATTAGTAATAAAAATGGGACATGGGCAGGATAAGAGACTACAGAATAGAGCTAGGTAACTACTTTCTGAATAAAGTACTCATAATGAGATAGAATAATCTTTAGAGAAGTTTAATCAAAATCTACCAAAGAATGCTAACATCTGGACCATATTTTATTCACAAGTATATCATGAAAAATTTGTTTAATACTTTAACAAAGATACATATTTTAGGACTATTTTTATATAAGCTTGGAATAACAAAAAGCTTTATATATTTCTGAAATTTTATAAAATGTAAATAATGAATAAAAAATTGCTAACCAATCTTATTTTCAAAATGATTTACAGAAATTGCTAACTATGGGAAAGTTACTGATTTTTAAAATACCATTTTGGTATTTTAATGGATTTTAAAAATCCATTAGGATTTTTAGTAATAAAAATTAATTATAAAGCATGAACAGGCAAAACAAATCACTATATGCATAGGGATGTGACAGCTGCATTATACGGTACACTGTGCTGTATTTTTACTGTTAATTCACAAGACTACAGTTATGTCTTTTTAGGCTGTTATTCTTTTTTTTTTTTTTTAGACTGTTATTCTTATGCATGAACAATGACCTCACTGTCAGTGTCATTTACCTGAGTTAACTGTCAGATAGGAAACAAGGAAGCCAGGCTTCAGATAGACAGGTCAGGGAACTCTACTGTTGACTCCTGTTACTTTCACTTGAGTCTGCTCTTTGAGAAAGGTAGACTTCCAGGCACTGTCTATTTCAATTGGGTGATGGGTACCATGATGGCACCCATGAGCTAGAGCTTAGACAGAGTTTGATTATGAGCCATCTTTTTACTTTTCCAGGTTACCATGTAGATAAAATAGGGTCATAACCAGATGGTCTAGTTATAAGTCATACGGCAGATTTGTCTTTGAATCCTTACAGGCTTCAGTAAATCTCCTTCAGAGGTAGTACAGTACAGTGTTGAAGAGGACACAGTGGAGTTGGACAGCCTCAGTGTACACTGCGGCTCTGACACGTGCTGGCTGTGTAGCCAAGAGATACTCTGTACACTCTCTGACACTGCTGTCATATGTAAAACAGGGAAATAACAGTAAGTAGCTAAGAGGTTACTGAGTGGATTGAGTAAGAAAATGAAGAAGAAATGGAGAAGTATGTTTTTCCTTCTGTATTACTTGGGATATATGTTGGAAATATAAAAATGTTAAGTTACGAAGTAAGTCACAGGGATGTAATGTATAGCACAGGGAACATACTCACAAATACTGTAATAACTCTGTATGGTGGGTAATGATTAAAATGTTGAAATCTTGTATTTAACATTGTATATCTGAAACTAATCTAATAGTTTAAGTCAATTATATGTCAATAGAAAATACTGAAAGAATCCAACTGAAAACAAATACAGACATATATAAACCACAGCTGCAACTGTGGTTTCTGGAAGTGAAAAATAATTACATATAACTGTATAACTAATATAAGTTTGAAAAGTTGAATAAAGTTAACATGTCTCCCCAAAAATATAGCTATAGAAGCTGGCATGACGAAAAAACTTGTCGATAACATTCTTGCTTTTTTTTTTAATGCTGCCAAAGAACTATCCTTCCAATAATATTCTCAATTCTAAGAAATTAATTGAAGTCTTTCAAATAATCATACTCAGATAGATATTCCATGTTATATATTCATTACACAGAAAAAAAATGAAAATTGAGTCAATACATTTAACAAAGTAACATAATCCCAGGATCAAAAATCAAACAGATAAATTATTCAAAAATTTTAATTATATACAAAGTAACTTTCACATAAGGCAAAATTCTTAAGTAATTAAACTTTGCAAGTTCTTTGATAAATTGTACATACAAAGTCCCTTCAAATTTTTCAAATTATATTAAAGTAAAAGAACCTCTAAAGTACTATTAAGATAGTATATACTAAAAAGGAAATTGGTTGAAAAAGAATTATGCAACAGTGCTCGTAGCTAATGAAAGTGATTGAAATATTACCCGATTATTCACTAAGGTGCCACAAATACAAAGAAGTGAACAACTGATTCTCCATAAATGAAGTGCCCTTTGCCCAAGAATAAATCGCCTTATTCAAAAAATGACCACAGGTGCTAAAAGTCAGCCAGTGTTAATATGACTAAACAGGGTTCAATTTACAACATACAGACAATATGTTGCTATTTCTAAGAGTTTTTGAAATTTAATTTTACTACATATAAAACTTTGAGTTGAAAAAAAGTAAATCTATTCCAGCTACCTAGAAATTCATCTAATTTACAATTCAATGAATATACGGAGGGAGTTTGGGGGGAAATAAATATTAATAATATAATAAAAATTTTGGACTTAAACCAAAGATTAAATGTATTCTCTTTTAGTAAAATGGTGTTTCTCTGGCTTTTAAAAATCTTCAGACAAAATTCAAATTTTTGTGACTAAAAAATCCTATTTGGATTACATCTCTAAATTTAACTATGTATTTTATCCCCCAACTTGAAACTTTGAAAATCTTGGACTGAGTAATTAATTTCAAAGTACCACTCATTTTTACTTGGGGGGCAAGAGTCCTAGAAAATTCCTATTTAACTTAAAGGTAGTATAGATTATAGCCTAAATGTCAGTCTTTCAAAGAACCATTTCCTTGAAATCTGGAGTCTTAATAATGTGAAGAGGAAAGAGTAAAGGCAGGAAAAAACACAAATACATAAAAAAAATTCACAACCTTGGAGTAAAAAATTGTACTACTTGTGTCATAAATTGAACCCTGCTTTATTTTAAAATAAGCAAAAATAAAAATAGAATAATTCACACGGTTAAGTCAGAGGAAGAACTGCAACCCCAATTTAACTGATTTTTAATAATTACTGTCCCAATGAGTTTGGAAGAAACAGCCCAAGAGATTATCATTTAGCATAAGAATAAAAAATTAATATACACAAAATGCAACACATTAGATAATTTTCTGATGCTGAGTTAGCATTGCATATAGCAAGGATTAGAAACAAAATAGAAATGTCTATTTCCTACCTATATCACTGGCTACCATCTTGGAAAACTTTCTGCTTTTGATCTTCACTGAAAATAATATTTTGATATAAAATGTCAAAATCTATTCAAAGTAAACTAAATGAATTAAATGTAATTAAAAGAAAATACTTTAAAGATACTATACCCTTTTCTATAAAATTATTCATTTTTTGTTCATCATCTGAATTGTGGGGTGATGAAGAACCTACACAAATGAAGACAATGGAAGGAACAGGCATACAGTCAGTCACAAACACTGAGTTGTCACAGGAAAAAGTACAAACAAAGTAATCTGGTAACACCTAGGATAAGTTCCCAGACTACTGGCCACAAGAAAATACTGTGTATATACTTAATAAAAATTCAGATAATATTACAGTAGCAATAGCAATCAGTAATACATTATTTTTCATGGTAGACTAACCTCTAGTATATATATTAACTCTAACCTATAATAATTTTTCCATAAGATACAAGTATTTGGCAAAATCTTCGTATATATTGTAAATTAGAGAATAGATAAAGAAAATATAAGGAGCTAATTGTTTGTGAAATAAAATGTAAAAATTCTTGATATTAGTTAACTGAATAAGGTTTATCTAGTGGATGCTTTTGAACTGTGGTGTTGGAGAAGACTCTTTGAGAGTCCCTTGGACTGCAAGGAGATCCAACCAGTCCATCCTAAAGGAAATCAGTCCTGGGTGTTCATTGGAAGGACTGATGCTGAAGCTGAAACGCCAATACTTTGGCCACCTCATGAGAAGAGCTGACTCATTGGAAAAGACCCTGATGCTGGGAGGGATTGGAGGCAGGAGGAGAAGGGGATGACAGAGAATGAGATGGCTGGATGACATCACCGACTCGATGGACATGAGTTTGAGTAAGCTCCGGGAGTTGGTGATGGACAGGGAGGCCTGGCGTGCTGCGGTTCATGGGGTTGCAAAGAGTCGGACACGAACGACTGAGCGACTGAACTGAACCGACTGAGTGGCACACAGAATCCTGTACAAGTACTATCCTGGTAAGGTTAATTTTAGAGTTAGCTTTCTAGATAAGAACTTTAAAATTTTATATAAATTGTACTATTACCATACAAGTCTTTAAAAATACAGAGGATATTACTTATAATTTTAGGTATGTCCAAATATTCACTTAAATATTTTATTTCGACTGTGACTTTCCATAAGCTTATCTAATATTTTTATAACTGAGATTTGTCTTTTTTTCTTAAAAAGATGTTTCTAAATTTTCATTGTATTTCTTTAACTTCTAACACAAATCTTTTTTTACAAAGGAAATTCTAAGCAGTATTCTAGTTGACTATGTGAGTCAAACTATCTATTCTTTAAAAGACATTTCAAATGATAGTCATTAAAATTTTCAAAATCTCTCCAGCTTATAAATCACTTCCCTTCCTCAGAATTCCTGTAAAAGTTTACCTGTTACTCTTCTTATGATGTTAATCATTTAACAGCTTACATTTTGAGTTTACACACATTTGGCCTTTCTCACTGAGCTGAAGTGAGAAGCCAGGACCCCATCTGATTGATCTTTCCATCCCTTTAGGACTCAGAGGAATGCTCTGCCTGTAGGAATCTCTAAATAAACATTTGCTGAACGAATGAAGCTTTCTTGCTAGAAGTGAATGTCTAGAATATAACTGGAAGTAAATACAGCGGTTTTTCTGTGTTGATTTCTTTTTTATCCCAATGAAAGTACTGAACCTTAATAAATAAGGTCGAAATTTGACCTTTCCCCACAAAATCATACTTTCTTTCTTTGGCCAGGTGGAAAATATCCTTGACGTCTCTTCTCAGAACAAGTAAAACCTGTCAACATTGGCAGGAGCCAGTTACTTCTAAAATAGTCTCATAAAAATTACTCTTCTAAAACTATCTTATTACTGCTAAATAGCATTTATAGATCCTCATAAAGTCTATATCAAAAAAATATCACACAGTAAACAATGAGAATACAAATAAGTGCCCTCCTTTCTCATATAAATATAATTCAGATTTAAAGAGGATAATGGCAATGAGAAGATGTTATATATAATTTAAAATACTATTCATCTCTGACACTATATAATCACATGAATGTACAAAAATTAATACTTATTTTACTTGATATATTTTATATCAGAGTAATAGCAAGATAGCATATTCTAATATGAATATAAAATTATAAAAATGTTCAGTAACTCCAACAGAAAAATAGGCAACATAAGCCATAAACGTAAGTAAAAGGAGCAGATCTTTCTCCCACTAACTGAAAATGCCTACTACTAGTTGTCATAACTTCCATGATAGCTTATGAAAAAGTTCCAAAAATGTTTTTAGCATTTCCTACTTGAATATATTTTACAAATTACTATGATTAAACAAACACAGAAAATACATATAGCTTTAAATTTTTTTTTTCTCTAGGGTACATGGAAACTCCTGAGGTCACCATCTCATAATATGTGGCCCTGTGTTTTCTTCAATTTGAAATGTATATATACATATACATACATACATACACACACATACAGTACTAAAAATATCCCAACATTACTAAAGTGCTCAGTGAAGCAATCTGAGTTCTTTGAAATAAAGATCAAACAGAGATGGCAGAAATAATTTTCTATGTTAATTCAGGATGGCAAGAATTTTCTATTTCAGAGCTATTGTTGGTTTATTTAAAAATAAACAGAATGGGAAAACTATACTCGTAATTTGGATTTTCTCAGGATGTTTTTGAATAGAGATATTAGTTGGCTAAATTGGTCAGATTACAAATTTTGGTTATGGGATTTAAACGCCTTTCAAAAATTTTCTCCTTATATGTATTATTTCAAATGAACACATTAGTTGTGATAAAGGGCACTTGACTACCTTTCATTTTCTATAATAGAGGTACTCTTCTTAGTATTTATGATTCAGTTGAACTTCCAACTCACTTTTTATGCATTTCTTCTTCTCTCATAAATACATTTTTTTCTAGTAACTATATCCAGAGGTTTATTCTGATTTCTATGATAGTTCTTAATATTCATGCATGACTAACATTTATCTCCTGGTATATAAAACATGTTTTAGGTACAATTATTGCCTACTAGTTTGGTTTCGGAGAAGGCAATGGCACCCCACTCCAGTATTCTTGCCTGGAAAATCCCATGGACGGAGGAGCCTGGTGGGCTGCAGTCCATGGGGTTGCTAAGTGTTGGACACGACTGAGCGACTTACTTTCATTTTTCACTTTCATGAATTGGAGAAGGAAATGGCAACCCACTCCTGTATTCTTGCCTGGAGAAGCCCAGGGATGGGGGAGCCTGGTGGCTGCCGTCTATGGGGTCGCACAGAGTCGGACACGACTGAAGTGACTTAGAAGCAGTTGGTTTGCTTTTGTAACAGCGGTCTTTCCTGGTATGCATGAATGGATATGACTTCAAAAACTCTTCAAACTTCCAGAGCATAATCAAAGGCTAAACTAAATAAGAGTTTTTGTCTAAAGATAAGTATCTGTGGTTTATCAATAATTTCTGAGGTCACAATTTTTACTTTGCATTTCAAACACCTGAAAAATGCCTGGTGTCATAAAATTCTGCCGGTTACAACTATATCGTCTTTTCATGTGAACCAAGGAACACAGTATATTTGAAAATGCTCAATGATGTTTGAGTTGCTCCAGTACAAAAGAGAGAATCTGGAGTTTTTTGCCACTATGCACTTTTTATATTTATCTACTTATATTTAAGTATACTTACATATTTATCTATAATTACCTCTTGTTGGGTTATTTCAAATTGTTATTTATACACACCTACTGAAAGTATGCCTTAGGATTAAAAGGAGTATTAATGTACTTTGACTGAATCTTGTTAAAACACATCTGATGGTCATTTAATATATTAAAAGACAATATATCACATATCCATGTTATCCAGTTTGGTTTATAGACTTAACATACTGATAACTACATTCACATGGCCTTGAGGTAAGGTGAGAAGATCAGAATAGTACTGTATATAGTTGGAGGAAAAACAGCAATAATTAAGAGAGATTATAATTCAAAATTATATCAGAAATAGCTTTTGTCCTGTGAGATGGGAAGTAATACTGCTCCACATTATTTGTTCAGTGTTATGCTACCAATGTTTAGCCTTAATCTTATAATATATGATAGTATATATATTATAGTTCCATGTGTTTTATTAGTGTAATGACTGAACTTAAATATGAAACTTAAATAATAAGAATACCAGAAGGTGTATATATTTTAGGAGAATAAATAATTAACTTGAACAAAATCAGGAAAATGCAATTTTAAAAAGAAAACCTCACAAAAGCTTTCATGGTCCTATAACTAATAAAATGGTCAACTGAAATATGAGGAAGTAAAATGCACTTCAGTTTTTCCTATTCTTTATTTATGATATAGTAGAACTACCTATGGAAAACCAAAATCTATGAACAGTGTTACTTTAAGCTAAGAACAGTCTTTCCAGGAGAAAGCTGATGAAAATTCCCAGCCTTCAAACACATCTGTTAAAATATGAAGTTAAACTTAAAAAACCCCAATAAATTCAGGATCATCTTAATTTTAATTAAGGAGAATTAAAAGTAACGTTCCTCTGAAATAGTAACAAATACATAGGTTACCTAAGACCAATATTTGGATAACAAAGGACAAATGCTCTAATATAGCTATAAAATTATATATTACTTTGATAAAATCAAAACCAAATATAACTAGTCTACAATTATTCTAACTTTCCACAGTCACCATTAGACAATAAATGTTAAAAATTTCTCATAACATTTAAACAGACATTATTCATGGTTTAGAGCACTATTTTACCAGCTGACTCCAGGACTACCAAGAGCAAAGACAAGACTGTAGATAACTAAACTTCTGATCCAATAGTAAGAAATAAGATCTATTTCCCCCCCAAAAGTATAAATATTAGAAAGCTAAGTAAACACCTGCATTACTCTCAACAGGTAATACCTGTAGATTTTTATCGAATGCGTTTCTTTTAACTTAATTAGAATGCAAAGAATATAGTTACAATTTTAAGAATAAATAGGTAACATAAAAGCTCCATGTAGGTGTATTTTAAATGCTTATCTATAAAAATTTGGCACATTATATTTTTTGTAGCACTACAACTATTAATAAAATAAAGAGGAAATTACCAGAAGTTGGAGATTTGCAGCGATCTTCTGGGACTACTGCCCCTTCACTAATATCGCACAGACCTGCTGAAAAACAAAACCCAGATCAAGTCATACCACAAGTTTATGTAAGTGCAGTTGTACCTCCTATTTATATTACATGTTTAATGACAGTCCATTTTTAAAAACTCAGCAGGTTATCAGACTATGCTGGCATTGACATCATGCTCAATAGCTTTGAGATAGGAATATAGGAGCATTCTGGTATTAAAACTAACACAGCAGTCATCAGTTAAATAAGTAACAATATTCAATCTACTGTTCTTCAAGGACATTAGAGATAATAGGATTGTGTTCAAAGTCAGCAATTTGAGGGCATATGTTATACTGCTTATTAGATTTCTCTTGAGGGGGAACAAATACTTGGTAATAAATTTGGTGATTTTTTTTACATCATAGGGACTCTCAACTCATATCTCAAAGTTGTTTCCGCTAGGTATATTTCAAATATACTCCCTTAAATATTACTGACAAATAATTAAGAAAATATTTTGCACCACCAAATTTGAAACATTTAGAATACAACCATACCTTGTTTTATTGCATTTTGCTGAAATTGCTTTTTTTGAAAAACAAATTGAAGGTTGTGGGCACCCTGCATGGAGATGGCCTACAGACACCATTTTTTTTCAATAGTATTTGTCACTTCATGTTTCTATGTCATATCTTGGTTAACTCTCATAATAATAACAAAAAAAATTTGAAATATCACATTTTCTATGGTGATCTGTGATCATGATCTTTAATGTTACTATTTTTAATTGTTTTGGGGCACCACATACCACACTCACATAAGATAGCAAACTTAACTAAGAAACATCTGTGTTCTGCCTGCTCCATCGACCTGACCTTCCCATCTCTCTCTCTCTCTTCCCTATTCCCTGAGACACAATATTGAAAGTACATCAGTTAATAACCCTACAATGGCCTCTAAGGGTTCAGGTGAAAGGATGAGTCAGTCAGTCACTCTCCGTTCTCTTTAAATCCAAAACCAGAAATAATTAAGCTTGGTGAGGAAGGCATGTCAAAAACTCAGAAAGGCTAGAATCTAGGCCTCTTAAGCCAAACAGTTATCCAAGTTGTGACAGCAAAGGAAAAGTTCTTGAAGGAAGCTCAAAGTGCTACTCCAATGAACACATGAATGATCAAGTGAAATGGCTTTACTCTTTGACAGGCAGAAAGCTTCAGTGGTCTGGATAGACGATCCCATCAGTAACAACATCCCTTTAACCCAAAACCCGATCCAGAGCAAGGCCCTGACTCTCTTCAATTCTATGAAGACCAAGAGAGGTATGGAAGTGGCAGTAAATGCTGAAACTGGAAGAGACTGGTTCGTAAGGATTAAGAACAGAAGCCATCTCCACAACACAGAAGTACAAAGTGAAGCAGCAACTTATCCAGGAAGTCTAGTGAGATAATTAATGAACGTGGCTAGAGCAGTCAACAGATTTCCAATATAGATGAAACAGCCTTCTATTGGAAGATGCCAACTAGGACTTTTGTGGCCAGGGAGCTTGGGATAGCTGGGCAATGGACAAAAGCTGCATGCCTAGGCCTCAGAAGTTATCAGGTACGAAATCAACATATGTGCATGTTATGACCAGTATCTGCCTTTCTGTTCCTCTGGTAAAAGACATAACATCACAATCTTCACAGTCTCCAAGAGACCTCTTACAGTAACATTTAGAGAATGCTGAGTACTGAATTGGGCTTCCCAGGTGGTGCTAGTGGTAAGGAACCCGCCTGACAATTTAGGAGACGTAAGGGACTCAGGTTCGATTCCTAGCTTGGAAGATCCCCTGGAGGAGGGCATGGCAACCCACTCCAGTACTCCTGCCTGCAGAATTCCACAGACAGAGGAGCCTGGTGGGCTACAGTCCATAGGGTCACAAAGAATCAGACATGACTGAAGCAACTCAGCACACACGAGTACTGAATTGGGTTTATGAGGAGTGTCTTCTATTTTGAACTGTGTATTACTGTCTTCATTGAATAGGAAGCTTTTGAATGACAGTTGTTTTTTTCTTTTTAACTTTCATCAAACTAATGATTCTAAAAAAAAGCAAAACTAGTCTTTAGAGTTCTAAGGTGATAGATTATAGGTATGCACGTATTAATCTCTGACATAATACCTATATATATAAACAAATCTTTTCTTGATAAAACCTTAAGATAGCAGGTCTTTAAACAGCAGAGCTATATGGAAACAATTCAAGTGTCCATTAGTGGATGCATAGACGTAAAAGTTATAAATATACAATGGAATATTATTCAGCCATAAAAATGAATAAAATTTTGCCATTTGTGACAATGCAGATGGACCCTGAGGATATTATGCTAAGTGAAGTAAGTCAGGCAAAGAAAGACAAATACCATGCGATCTCATATTCCTCAACTAAGTAAATAAATAGTGGTAATATATTCCAGTATTACAATGAGCCTGGTACTGAATAAAAATAATCAATTTCGAAATTTCAAGCATTTGGTATTTTGTCAACTGTTTGAGAAAACTCTGGGAGACAGTGGAGCACAGAAGAGACTCGTGTGCTACAGTCCATGGGGTCACAAAGAGTTGGGCATAACTTAGTGACTGAAGGACAACTAAACTCTATAAAAATGCAGTTCAGTTCAGTTCAGTTCAGTTGCTCAGTCGTGTCCGACTCTTTGCGACCCCATGAACCGCAGCACGCCAGGCCTCCCTGTCCATCACCAACTCCCGGAGCTTACTCAAACTCATGTCCATTGAGTCAGTGATGCCATCCAGCCATCTCATTCTCTGTCATCCCCTTCTCCTCCTGCCTCCAATCCCTCCCAGCATCAGGGTCTTTTCCAATGAGTCAACTCTTTGCATGAGGTGGCCAAGGTATTGGCATTTCAGCTTCAGCATCAGTCTTTCCAATGAACACCCAGGACTCATCTCCTTTAGGATGGACTGGTTGGATCTCCTTGCAGTCCAAGGAACTCTCAAGAATCTTCTCCAACACCACAGTTCAAAAGCATCAATTCTTCAGTGCTCAGCTTTCTTTATAGTCCAACTCTTACATCCATACATGACCACTGGAAAAACCATAGCCTTGACTAGATGGACCTTTGTTGACAAAGTAATGTCTCTGTTTTTTAATATGCTATCTAGGTTGATCATAACTTCCCTTCCAAGGAGTAAGCATCTTTTTATTGAATGGCTGCAATCACCAACTGCAGTGATTTTGGAGCCCAAAAAAATGTAGTAAGAGTTGCTAATTTTCATTCTTAAAATAGCATAGGAGGAATCATTTAGGAAGCTAAATTCAAGTGTGATAGGAACAATTTAGTTATTAAATTCTGGAATAAGCTAAAAATCCCTTCCATGCTTTCCATGTGACTCAGGGTAAAAGCTAAAGTCAAGTCCAAGAAGACTGGTTGATGCATATGATCAAATGGTACATGACTGTGGTATTTATTATGTGACTATGGGTATCCCATTACCACTCTGACTTTATTTCCTCTCCTACCTACTTCACTGTCTCTCTGACTCTCTGCTTCAGCCACACTGACCCTTCACTGTAACCTTGAACTCACCAGTTACACTGCTTCTGAGCCACTGTACTTGATATTCTCTACCTGAAATGTTCTCTCTATAGACATCCTCATGGAGAACAGCTGTCTCCTTTAAATCTTTGCTCAAGATGCTCTATTTAAAATGTAACACCCAAAAAAAAAAAAAAAAAAAGTAACACCCTTGTTGCTATTTCAAATCCCCCTCGTTTAATTATTTTTTCCTTTGGCACTACTATGTAACTTACTATATACTACTTATCTTTTCAAACTCTGTCTTTTCCAGTATAATGTAAGCTTCTTGAGGGTAGAGAATTTGGTCTGTTTTAATACTGTGCTGGCTGAAAAGTTTGTTTGGGCTCTTCCATAAGATGGTATGTGTGTGTGTGGGTGTCTGACTCTGAGATATGAATGGACTGTACCCCGCCAGGCTTCTCTGTCCATGGAATTTTCCAGGCAAAGATATTGGAGTAGGTTGTCATTTCCTACTCCAAGGGATCTTCCCGACCCAGGAATGGAACCCACGTCTTTTCTGCCTCTTGCAGTGGCAGGTGGGTTCTTTACCACTGCACTAACTGGTAAGATGGTATAGAAAAACCCAATTGAATTATTTGGTCAACAACCCAACAGAATCACAATAATCAGCAGATACATACATTTAGTTGAAATACTTCACTACTTGTACCCTGTGACAGTTTCATAATTTTTATTATGAAAATACTGTAGATATTTTAGTCAATAGTTCAATTGTATTTTAACACAGCTAAAAAATACTTAAACGAAAATGTTTTATCTCATAAAATAATTTCATGAGTGCCATCATATTCTTTATGAAAACCTATTAGCACCAAGTAGTAGCAAAAAAAAGTTTCTCCATTCATACTGATCTATATGAAAGACAGAAGAACAATTTCATGGTATTTGGGCTTCACTTCAAGAATATATGCTAAAATATACACTTTAGCAAAAAATCTTTTTTGCATCAATGCAATCAAAGAATTTTAGTACCAATTATTCTATATTTGATTTTATTTAAAATATAAATATTTTAGAAACAAGACACAAATAGTCTTAAAATGTTAAAGTATGTTTTAAAATAATTTTCTCTTAATTTTTAACTTTCTCTTTCTCCTTAATATTGTTCAAGTGAGCATAACAACAATAACATCTTTTTTTTTTTTTTAATGTTTTCTTTTTAATTTTATTTATTGGCTGCACCAGTCCTTTAGTTGTGGCATGTGGGATCCAGCTCCCTGTCCAGGGATCAAACCTGGGCTCCCTGCATTAGGAGCCCAGAGTCTTAGCCACTGAACCACCAGGGAAGTCCCCAACAATAACATCTTAAAGTGCTAAAAACTTAAGTAGTTCTTCTGTACCTAAATGTGTAACTCTTCAATATAAACTGAAGCAAATAATAATATGAATAATATGATAATGCTTATTAAACAATAAAATAGGATGCAATGGAATGCAAGAAAAAAATTAAAATCACATGGCAGAATTGGTCTCTAACCTTGGATGAATTTAGGCATTTAATTTATAGTAATTTTATGTAAGTTATGATGAGGTACTAACAAGAAAAGAAATTAATTTCGTGAGTAATAAAACTTTTACTGCTCCTTCTCTATCAAGACAATGTTTAACTTTCTGACACTATATATTAATCTCTTTGCTTAATAAAGAAACTGGATTGGAACACAAATATTTCAGTAGCTGTTTTCATATGTATATTATGAGATGAATTTAAGTAATGAGTATGTTATTTTAGATATAGAATGCTTTAATAGGCTCTTTTAAAAATAAATGAGAAAAAAACAGTTTTACAGACAAAATACACTGTCATGACTTTACTGACGTGGAATGAATAACTTACTTAAAAAGGAAGAACGGAGTTTTTTCACAGATTCAGAATATAAGCTAGAAACGCCGCACATGCAAGAAGTCACAATCAGCATGCCTCAGTGAAGCAACGAAAAGCAAAAGAAAAAAAAGGAGACAAAGATACTAGAATGGTATGGTTGGGACAACAATTTCTGCTGAAGATAACACATGACAAAATGATCACACAGACAAAAATAGAAAAAAAAATTCAACTATTGCCAAAGTGACAGTAAGGTCTATATCCCATCATCTTTTTCTTTTCTTCTGTCATGAATTATGAGACTTATTTAGTATCAGCAAAAAATGTCCTTAAAGCAACTCAGAAATGAATATCAGAAAGAATTTTAATTCAGAGAGATTGAGTTAGGAGATGTAGAACAGGGCTTCCCAATGGCATTCTGCAAACAGGTTAGGTTACATCTGCCACAGATGGAGTTTCTTGAGTCTCTGGTCCCCCTGGGAAGGCCCAGGGGAGCCTGGAGCCCAGAGACCAGTTACCACCACTGGAGGCCCCATTAACATATGTCAACATGCCAGAGATCCAATGTCATTTTCTGTGTGTGCCATGAGGTTTGGGGGAAAAAAAAAGGTGAGGAATACTGGTATAAACAGCTAACTATATATGTGTTCCATGAGGGATTAGTATTGAAACATTTAAAATAAGATTAATTACCTAGCAAACACAAAAGAATGCTATAGAGAGAATTTTTAATGGATCTGGGCTTGCACTGAATCCACGCTGTCTGAGAATGCTGTATCTCACAGAGTTCAAATTCACTTTTGCATATACATTTTTTTTTCATGTGGGAAATTATTCCTTTGATACTCAAAACAATAAACTGCTGGTCTCACACTATTAAACAGTAAAAGGGACAGAACTATGAAACTTTTGTTCTGTAATGAGATAAATTTCCCTGTCATAGTAATTTAGCTAAAGAAGTCTGAAACTGTGGTTCCTTCCCAATGTTAAATAAAATCCTAGAATATTAAAAACAAATGCATAAACTAATAACAATATAAAACAAAAAAGGAGGTTGATACCTTTTACTATTTTTTTGACAGTTTATACAAACAAACACAATCAGATAAGCTATTTACCTAACGGAAGTACTTATATTCACAGAAGTTGGCATTTATGGAAATCCTAAAGCTCAGGATTTCTTTCTTTTTACCTCCTGAAGGTTGTCGAGATTTACGAGGAGATCGGGGTTCTCGCCGATAAGGATCATTGGAGCCATACAATTCAATAGTGCCCAGGTTGAGGAGTACTGCTTTCTGGAGGTAGTCAACCATCGCAATACCATTACAATTGCCAAAAACTACCCTATGAATAGGAAAAGAACAAACATTTTAGCATAATTAAATACTTCAAAGAAAAAGTAGTCTACAGGGCTAAAAAAGCACGATGGGTATTTAAGAAAATTCCTTTTGAAACAAAACACTATTACAGACATGCAAAAACAGGTTACATATGCCTTCTGATGGAGTTGTGCAGATCTTCTGTATCAATGTATACAAATCAACATAAAAAATTTGATGTAGGAGTTAAAATTTAACCAAAGACATAAATCCCTATGCTAAGCAATATGACATCTATTTTTCTGACTATTTTGAACCCCTTGGGTAAGACATTCATTTCTACTGGGGAATAAGGCATTATATATTTGGAAAAGTTATAGGGTAACTTTTGGTTACCCCATAGGGTTACTTTTGGTAAAGTCAAGGGTAAAACATAGAAAGCATAGATCTCGGAGGCTTCCCTTTGGAGTATTCCAAATACTTTCTCAATCATGAGTTGGGAAGAACAATGAATAAAAGCAACTATGAGTGAAGGAACTTTATTCATTTAAGATCCTGTAAGCCAGGGTGTTGAAAACTAACATACACAGAGGGACTATATAGGTAAGTAAAACATGCCGACTAAGGACTGTGGTGACCTGAAGAGTTAACAATTCATCTAAACAGGGAAGCTTCACCTCAGCTCCTGCTGACTACAGCTGACCAGGAATGGAGACATGGGCTAGATAATCGAACTTTTCAATTAAAGCTCTAAATATGGATTTTCACATTAAAAAGTCTCGGCAACTAGTTCAAATTTTAAAAATACACAAAAAAGCCTAAACAAAATATAGTTGTAAACCCAATCAGGACTGTGAGCAACTGATTTGCAACTTCCTTTGAAACATTCTATTGCTTCTTATTTCTAGTTTGTTTCTGTTATGGCTGAGCAGCAAAATACTAAAGAAAAAAAAGGAACATCTGTACTTTCACATTGTGGGACAGCAAATAAAAGACATCAGAGAAGACTATTTCAGACTCTAGCTAGTCTTATCAGCGTGCACAAATGCAAGAAACGGTGTAGGTGGTAGTAGCTATTAGAAGGAAGAAGGAAGAGGAACGAGTCCCTAGGGCTAGAAGCAAGGAAGGAGACAGTGACCTACACAACATAAACAGCTCTAGACCAAACAGTAGGCACGTGGTTTCTCTTTGATCACAATGTTGATTTTTTTTTTAAAATAATTTTATTTATTGATTGATTTGTGGTTGCACTGGGTCTTTGTTGCTGCATGGGCTTTTATCTAGTTGAGGTGAGCAGGGGTTACTGTCTAGTTACACTGTGTGGCTTCTCACTGCAGTGGCCTGTCTTGTTGCAGAGCACAGGCTCTCACGCATACAGGCTTCGGTGGCTGAGGACCGTGGCTCAGTGGCTGAGGCTCCTGGGTTCTAGAGCACAGGCTCAGTAGATGTGGTGTGCAGGCGTAAGTTACTCTGCGGGACGTGGGATCTTCCCAGACTAGGGACTGAAACTGTGTCTCCTGCACTGGTAGGTGGATTCTTTACCACTCAGCCACCAGGAAGCCAGACAGTGTTGATTTTTAAAACAAAAGTAAATACTTCATGATTCTATCCTATTATAATAAATAATATGTACTATGAACACTATACACTTGAAGGCATGAATTGATAAATAAAAACACAGCTGAAGTAAAGATGAATACTTTACTAAGCCATTACTATGTCTTTACAGTTTTTACAAGTTAACTATGGAAGGAGAAAGAATAAATTATGCAGCTATGGTTCAACATTTACAGAATCAACTTAGAAAATAGTCTTCTGGGTTGATGTTAGACTTTTATTATACCAAATATTAACAAGGAAATTATTTCTCAGAGTATATCAAGGTGAGGACAGATTCATTGATCCATGAGATATTTAACTTTAGACAAAGCAGTAGTAATAAGCACATCCAGAGTAAATTATTCAGAACAGAATTATGTTCCAAATAAACACTGCATTTGATCTGACACTGAAGGTTATACAACATTTTAAGTCATATAATAAGGATAACCCATTCTTTTTTTAAAAATATAAAAATGCATGGATGGAATACAATGAAGAGACACAGAAATACATAAATTATACTTACAATCCATAGGAAGAATTAACTGCCAGACTGGTTATTTGTTGTGGTGGTTCTCCACCCACCCACACCAACTGTATAACTAATTCTGTCTGATAACCTGGAGACTGTTTAAGTGGAGAACTTTTAACTCTGTAAGAAAGGAAAACATGTTGCCTTTTAACACATCTTCAATTATCTTATTATAAAGTCATCCATCAATAACTATACAAAAATAACTTTATATATGAAAGTATATGATATAAAAATGCAAAAATCAGAATCCTGTCCTCTAGAATCATTTAATCTAGTTGCAGATGAAACACAGAGATAAGCGACAAATCATAGATAAGTTCTATATATAAATTGTGGAGGGAGGGGAGAAATGAAAGGGGAGAAGGAGGGAGTGGGTAGAGAGGAATGAAAGAAGACCAGGGAAGGATGGAGAGAAGAACAAAGAGAAGCTACACTCTAGGTCTAAGAGGAAAAAAAATCAAGTTACAGAAAAAACCCAAGATAGAAGAGTAGACTTAAAACTTGAAAAACGTAGAACTGGCCTAAAACATAAGGAATTAAGGAAGATGTATAAAAAATGTGGGCAATTTATTTTTGTTTGCATAACCACTTTACTACTAAAAAAATCTACTTTGACTTTGAGTTGGTAGTATTTTTGATATCACAGAAGTGAAGGGAAGTGAAAGTCGCTCAGTCATCTCCGACTCTGTGACCCCATGGATTACAGTCCATGGAATTCTCCAGGCCAGAATACTGGAGTGGGTAGCCTTTCCCTTCTCCAGGAGATCCTCCCAACCCAGGGATCGAACCCAGGTCTCCCACATTGCAGGCAGATTCTTTACCAGCTGAGCCACAGGGAAATCCAAAAATACTGCAGTGTGTAGCCTTTCCCTTCTCCAGCGGATCTACCTGACCCAGGAATCAAACTGGAGTCTCCTGCATTGCAGGAGGATTCTCTACCAACTGAGCTATCAGGGAAGCCCCTTGATAGCCTAGGCTATTGCCCCAAAAACTGCTGGATAGTGTCAAAAAATTGCTTTTGCAAAAAAATATGCTAACAAGATAAAGAAGTAGGAAAGCCATAGACAAAGATTAACGAGTATGTATGTTTGGTCACAGTAGAAGGTATGTGTAGTAATAGTAAGAATTAAAAAAAAAAAAAGTCACTATAGCGAGATAGGCCAGGGCCAGACTTTGGAGGGTTTGTGAGTTCTGGCTGCAAAGGTCTGATGTTGGTAGAAAGAACTCAGGGCTCTGAAGTGCTAGAGTGTGAGTCTTGGTTCTGCCACTTAACGTCTTCCTGTTTGAAAGTGCGAATATTACTACTTAATCACAGTATAAGGATACTGTGAGTACGTATGAGAGAAGTTTTTCAACGGCCAAATTATGCAAAAGGCATACATTTTCATTATTAAAGAATTAAAAGCCAGTGAAGGTTTAGGAGAAATATTTTGGGAAGATTAACTGTAGAACTTCGCAAGATGAAGTAGAATAAGAAGACTCATGAGGAACTTCCTGTGATTCGTGTGATGCAAAATAATAAGACAGATTTGAAACGCATGAACTAAGTCTCAAAAAGTTTCATAAACTCCATTAAGGTAGATACCTTGCCGTTACTTTTAATACTCCAGCAGATGAGGTATTCAATATTTACGGAATGAATAAACGAGCTGCAGGCTGATTAGAGGCGGAGGAGGGGAGAAAAAGAAGACAGTGATTCCAAGTTTTGAAAAAGAAAAAAGATGTCAGGATGAAGAGCCAGTCTCAGAAGAAGACATGGTTAACTTTGAGGGGATGGTAGGGGTCTTCAAGTGAACTATTCAGCAAACAGTTATACTCACTTACGTTGAGTGAGTTCCCAAAAAACTTTTATTGGTTCAACTTGTTATAAGTATGTTAGAGGGAGCAAAGGAGGGGTTTGTTTATAAATGTGAGACTTTCTAAGGAATAAAGTTACTAAGCTAATACCTTTATTACTTGTAAACTTCAAGTGAATTTGGAAGATAAAATTTTTATAAAATATGAGCTATTTGTATGACTTTTACTAATAAAAGTATCTACTTTTACTTTAAGGTGGGGACATTTTTGATTGCACAGACTCTCTAGTAATTGTTCTTGTAAAACATACACAAAGCCTGGTTATTCTAATGATTCTTGAGGCTTCTGCCTTGGAGTAAATGTATAAAGAAGGACAGCCGGAAGTCTATTCCATGTTTAACCTCCTGACACTAAACTGAGAGAACCCTTTGGATCTTTTAGTTGGTACTTCCATGAAGAACACCACAACACCAGACCTTTTGCTGTCATATTTGCTAGACTCAGTCCAGGTAAGAAAAGGGTCATGATGTTGTCTGAGTTTTGGAGTAAATGTGAATCAACAAGGGTACTCTTAAAATGAGCTGAGTTGCAGTCACAACTGCCTGTGCAAAGTCTGCAAGTTAATATACTCAGAACTACACACTGGCTGAAGCAGAAGTTCTAACTTTCCTCAGGGAAACACCCACTGATCAGCTACAGCCATCCACCTCAAAAGACTGAGTAGCATTTCATCTCCACCAGAGACAGCCTCTGTTTACACAGCATAGCTGGCAGAGTCCGAGTGTGCTATTTTCTCCCTGTAGGAGCTAAATACGCTTCAAGGAAGTATCCACCCTCCCTCTGGCATATTTATGTGCACCTTAGATTCTCAGGGCTGCCCTCCTGGTTCAGTTGGTAAAAAATCTGACTGTAATGCTGGAGACCTGGGTTCAATCCCTGGGTTGGGAAGATATCCCAGACAAGGGAACGGCTACCCACTCCAGAATTCTGACCTGGAGATATTCATGAACTATATAGTCCACGGGGTTGCAAGGAGTTGGACACGACTGAGTGACTTTCACACTTATATACTCACACTAAGATTTTCAAGAGCAGGAACAGGCATTCAGGGATAATTTCAGATAGGCATATATGGGCACATTTTAGATGTAAGTGATGAAGACACACAGAAGTCATGGAATTTTTATTTTACTTAGTATGAAGAAACAAAAACATTCTCAAGTAAAAATAACTTTAAACAGTCAAACATGCTGAAAAAGCCTCAACTGGTAAAAAATTAGAAATCGAATTAAGAAATGATGACATATGTTAGATTTTAAAAATACAAAATGAGGGCTGGGTGGGCATTATGTTTAATGTTTATAATGGTTATATGCAAGTTATCATTTTAATGTTTTTAATATATTAATTTGTTTCCTTTTAAAGACAAAGGGTAGAACTTATTTTTATGAAAAGCTCCGTAATTTGTACAAATGTATTTTAAATTTAAAAATAATGTTTGGAGGCCTGTGATTTAAAAGTCACTAGTGAATATGTGGATTATTAGACAAAAATCTCGAACTTGTTACCAAAAAAACCTCAAAGACTAACTACTTTATATGCTTATAAAAATTAAACAAAAAACAGGAGAAATATACATGAAAATCAGAAGTGACATTAATGTAAATTTTACAAATTTAAGTTTAAAGTACTACAGAGTAAGTAACAAAAGGGAAAGATGTAGAATTCTTTTATTTCCAAGTCTCATTCTATCTAAACATATGCCAGACTGTAGCAGAAAGGAAGTATGTGTATATATATATATATACACATGGGATAGAAAGGAAAGGGGAGGGGGTAGGGAGGACGGAGAGAGAGTGGGGGGAAGGGGGAGAGGAAGAGAGAAGAAACCTCAGACCTTTCTAAGAAAGTAGCTGCTTCGCCTCAACGCTTACGCTCCAAGGCCCGACCAGCCTTCACCCTCGGCACCACTGACGCCCTGCGCTGGCTAACTCCGCTGTGCGGCGCTGTCCTGTGCACGGCGGGATGTTGTGCATCAACCCTGGTCTCTATGCCCGGGCTTCCCTGGTAGCTCAGCGGGTCAAGAATCCACCTGCAATGCAGGAGACCCTGGTACGATTCTTGGGTTGGGAAGATCCCCTGGAGAAGGGAAAGGCCACCCACTCCAGTATTCCGGCCTGGAGAATTCCATGGAGTGTATGGGCCATGGGGATGCAAAGAGTCAGACACGACTGAGCGACTTTCACTTTTCACAGTAGATGCCAGTAGCATTCCTTCCTGTTGTGACAAATATTGTTTCCAGACGTTGCCAAGCATTCTGAGGAGCAAAATCATCCCTGTTTGAGAACCACTGGCATAGTACACAATCTCAAATTTACGTAAGCACATAAAGATTTAAAAAGCTGTACTTTTCTATAGCTCTATATCATGAGTGATTGTGATATAAAAAAATCTGCTTTATCTCTGGTTGAATGCATTTTTGATGATGCAGACATTCTCCTCAGCAACTATTGAACCATTCAGTAATGGTTCTAGCAGACCTAAAGTCAAAACAGTATGAAGACTGGTTCTTTTAACAAACACAAACTGTCTTTCTGACTACCCTCCCTATCCTGAATCTACTACAGTCTGCCTTTCGCCCCCAACTTTTGTATTGAATCTCTGACATTTTCCATAACCACTTTTAGTCATGACCTTAATTGTCTTCTCTTTACACCCTAATTGACTTCTTTGTAAATATAATACTTTTAATCATAGACTTCATGAAATCATTCAGTGATTTTAACTCTTTGTTTTCTTCCTATGCCATTTTTAAGGCTCATATGCTTTAAAAGTGACCAACCTAGACAGCATATTAAAAAGCAGAGACATTACTTTGCCAACAAAGGTCCATCTAGTCAAAGCTATGGTTTTTCCAGTAGTCATGTATGGATGTGAGAGTTGGACTATAAAGAAAGCTGAGCACCGAAAAATTGATGCTCTTGAACTGTGGTGTTGGAGAAGACTCTTGAGAGTCCCTTGGACTGCAAGGAGATCCAACCAGTCCATCCTAAAGGAGATGAGTCCTGGGTGTTCATTGGAAGGACTGATGTTGGAGTTGAAACTCCAGTACTTTGGCCACCTCATGCGAAGAGCTGACTGATTTGAAAAGACCCTGATGCTGGTAAAGATCGAAGGCAGGAGGAGAAGGGGACGACAGAAGATGAGATGGTTGGATGACATCACCAACTCAATGGACATGACTTTGAGTAAGCTCCAGGAGTTGGTGATGGACAGTAAAGCCTGGTCTGCTGCAGTCCATGCGGTCGCAAAGAGTTGGACACGACTAAGTGACTGAACTGAACTGATGCTTTAAAAATTTTAACCACTCAATAATATAAAAGTAAAAATAAATTTTGTCCAATTTACTCCTATAGAAAAGCAAAATGCATTAAATCTGGATTTCTACAATAAAGGCATTTACATAACAATGTTGTGATATTAAAGAAGATTCAGAAAAAGAAAATGATTACCTAACAACTGTATCACTAAAGACTGAAAAAACAGAATTTTCAGAGCGCCAGAAAGCAGTCTATGTGTACATTTGATCCACATATAAACCCAGACTAAAACATGGTGATGGATTGAGAAGAATGAGCTAGATACAGAGGAAAGATCCATGCTGCTCTACCAGTAGGTTTAGAGATCAAATCATATTACTTTAAGGATAAAATCATGGAATGCAATCATATTCCTCTTGGTGCCACAAAAAAAATGAGTTGGATTAACCACAGTGAAATGCAGAAAGAGAAGTAGCTATGTCGTTTTACTCTGTCATGGGAAAACATTACTTAACTTTACCAAGGCTTATAATTTATCTAAATTAAGAGGTAAGTTCCAAACCATCTGTATTTTTCTTTAACTTACTTCAAACAAGGGACATTGTCCCGAAGCCCATCAGATGAACTGCTACTGGTAGAAGGATGAGACTGAGGAGGGATGGGCTGTGGATTGGCACTCCCAACCGGTGTTGGCAAGGGTGGAGCCTGTTCACCCTCTGGGGTTTCCACATCACTTATCTCATACAACAACCGAACTTCAAGCATCTGTTGTAAAATAAGACAGTTTACCCTCTCCTAACAATTACTGTTCATTTTGTTAGTTTATACATACACATATGTACACTAAAGTGGAAAGAACATTTTTAAAGGAAAAATTTAGTGAGGTTACTAAACATAAAGATTTCACAAAGAAAAAAATGTTTCTGATTCAGCTTTTTAAAAATGATTGTGTGTTTGTGTGCAAGTACATTCACACATACACATAATGATTTTAGGGTTTATGGCACCTCCTGTTAATGCTAAATTAGATTAGGCTCATACTTATATCCTTTCCTTAAATGAAACAGAATGCATTTAAAGATTTAAATAAATGTTCAGTAAAAAGAGATACATAAAAATATGCCTTTTCTTCACAAAAGGTAAATGCAATGTAAATACTGAGGTGTTTTAAAAATGACTACGGATAGTCTCCTAAGTGATTTGAAAACTTTTAAATGTCAGACATTTGACACTGAAAATAATTGAGAGACAACTACCGGAATGACTTCTGTAATCACTTCCTGTTTGCTGAATCTATAAATAATGACATGAGCTGAAACTCCAGCTATGCACAGCATTCTACTTTCGGGACACCAGGAGATGATCTGAATGGCATATGGATCTTCATCTACAATGTCTGTGTTTGGCTTCTCATCTTTATTTCTTGACTTCTCAAATACTTTAGATGTCTTTAGTTTATATAATACTTGTAGAGTTACTAAAAAAAAAAGGATAAAATATCTTAGTACAAAAAGAATAAAAGGGAATATATCACATGAGAAAAACAGCCTGCTTTTTGAATCGTATATTTATTCCTATGTCTATATTTCTCTCTTATTCTTTTACATAATGTATTCACTACACTTCATCAACCAAAGAAGGTACACTCATTGTATTCATTTAAAAAAAAAATCACCATCATGATGAATTTAGATTATTTAAAAAATGAGCAACAAAAAGATTTTGTAAAAAGATAAAAGCATAAATAAAAATAATAAAGCACATATTTTGGTTTACAGAATTATTTTCTCTCTGAAAGGTACCACTATTATCTAACACACTTCTTCATGATGAAACATACCCTGAGTTAACTGGATTCTAATTTCATAATTAGTAGTGTTTGTACATTACTTATTCAAAGCATTCTTTCCTTTTTGCTAATGTAACCACTGTATATAATTCACATAGAGAGCATAAACTTTCATGATATTAAGTTTAGAATCAGACACTAAAATTATTCAACGGATTTATGTTGATTTGAAACATATTCTCACTTCTCTTATCTCTGAGTTAGGAAGAAAAGGTTTGAAAAAATACTGAAAAAAGGATTTGAGTATTTCTGCTGAGAATTATCCTTGATTTACAAATTAACATCCTTCAAATATCTTCATCTATTATAAATTCTACTCAAATACATAATAAATCAAGCATTAACTTTACAGCCTCTAAATTTCAAATTAAATGTTAGCTATGCCATTATTACAAAACAGATTACATAAAAGCAATAATTGCATAGCATGTAACAAATAATATTCAGAATACTTACTCGCAGAAGCATCCCAGAACTTAATCGACCCATCAGCATGCCTGTGAAAAGCATATGAATTAAGAATGTGTTGAAGAAAAAATTTACACTAATTTTTTCTTTGAAGTTAAATATATTGTTACTTAAACATAGTTACCAAAATGAGGAAAAAGGTAAAATTTAGGATAAATTCATAGGGTCTATTCAATAACTTATTACTTATGATGTTACTGTATAAAGAAAAGTACTATCTGCCCAACTAATTAATATTCATGCAGTCCTAATCATATTTAGTTATTAATATTTTTTAAATAATAATGTATTTTTTTACTTACCCTGTAATAATTATTTCTGGGTAGCTTTGAGAACCCAAGCCCCAATTACCTCCATTAATGGGCCATTCCTGTAAGAAAAGATTATTGTGTAAAGCAATTTCCAAGCATAGCATGTATCTTCATAAAATATTTATGACAATAGTAAACAACATATTTCATTTCCAGAAAGGATTTTTAATTTCTCTAGAAAAGGTATCACTATCAACCAGTCAACTAAGAAGTATAAAATACTGAAATGTATAGTAAAATTCATGTTCAATACCTTTTTGCTGTAGCCTTGACGTTTCTGTCTAGCTCCAACAGAGTAAAGTGCAGGAATAAGGTCCACGGGACAATCAGCAAAATATTCGCAACATGTAACAGGGGATTCATGTATACTCAAAGGGTAGGGATTTTCAAATATAGGATATCTTTAACAAGAGGAAAAGAAAAAACATTTGTTAATGAATGATTACCTATGATTAATGAAACAATGAAAAACATATTTAAACTTATTTAATAACAGGCTATTCTAGGGCTATCACTGAGAGATAATGTTTTTAAATTCCTTTGTTTGACATAGTCTTGTTATTTTCAAGAAGAAAAAAAAATCATTATTGCAGTTAGCATGCACTAAAGTTGATGTGAATTTTGGAATGCCTTAAAGTAAGGTAAGTAATACCATTCACTTACACTTTAGGGTTTTCTTATCTCAGTACCACTCCCATTGTGGGTCAGACAGTTTATTATGGGGGCTGCCCTGTGCACTGAGGATGTTTAGCAGCACCCCTCCCCTCAACCACAGATGTCTACACAGACATTGTCAAACGTCTCTTGAGGGGAAAATTGCCCCCAGTCCAGAAATACTGACTGGGTAAACTCATTAAAACCATATTTAATGATTATCTCTCAGGAAATACAACTAATGTAATACAATGTTCTTCCATTCAAGAAATTTTTAAGTAAACATGCTATCATCTAATCTAGAACAAGAAGAATGTTGGAAATGCCACAAAAAGCCGCACAGGAGCTAGGTGAGAATTTACAGTTATGATATACCTGGTTAAGAGAGAATAGGAAAAACTTGAAGAGGAAAATAAGGCTGCCTTTGAAAGTTATGTGGATTTTTGATGGCAGTGACACAAGTGGAATGTTTCAGCTGCTGGGAGCTAGGTAAGAAAAGACATGGAAATGTGATGCTTGTTTGACACTGTTCAGTTTTCCTGGAGAACAGGTACCAGGTTGCAAATGTATGCTGAATCCCTTCTATGTAGAGTAGCAGGCTGAGAAACTGTTTTTACATAAAAAACCAACAGAGATCCAAAGGGATTTAAAGAAAAGAGTAACAAGATTGGTGAAGTGAAGTGAAGTTGAAGGTTGCTCAGTCACATACGTCTGATTCTTTGCGACCCCATGGACTTTACAGTCTATGGAATTCTCCAGGCCAGAATACTGGAGTGGGTAGACTTTCCCTTCTCCAGGGGATAATCCCAACCCAGGGATCGAACCTGGGGCGGATTCTTTACCAGCTAAGCCACAGGCGAAGCCCAAGAATACTGGTGTGGGTAGCCTATTCCTTTCTCCAGCAGATCTTCCAAACCCAGGAATCGAACTGGGGAACAGGGATAAGCTACCCATTCCAGTATTCTTGGGCTTCCCCTTGTGGTTCAGCTGGCAAAAAATCTACGCTGGGTTCGACCCCTGGGTTGGGAAGATCCCCTGGAGAAGGGTTAGGCTACCCACTCTCCAGTATTCTGGCCTGGAGAATTCCATGGACCATATAGTCCAAGTCCATGGGGTCACAAAGAGTTGGACACGACTGAGTGACTTTCATTTTCACTTTCAAGGTATTCAAGTATTAGGTTGAATCATGAAAAATTTCAGAAATTCAACAAATTTTGATTTAAACTTGGATTTCTATATGAGTACCATAATGGAGAAATTTGGCAGGTAATGAGAAATGTGTATCTGTAGTTCTAAAAGGAAGTCCAGGTTATGAATATAAACGTAGCCTTTTCAAAGAAATGAAACAGTCAATCCTAAAGAGACTCTTTCTTCACCACGTACTAAAGTAACTGTTAACCAAATTTTATTTCTTACCCATTCTGTGCAAGGTCTATTAGTACTAAATCCTTTTCTAGTAGAACAACCACAGCATATGGTTCTTGAAAATCTGGAACAGGAAAACAAGGCATGAACAATAGTGACAAATATGCAAGAGGACTGCAAACTAGATAACAAAACATGTTGGTGTATTTTTTATTTTGTTCCATTCACTCAAATATTTAACATTCTGATATTGTACTTCATATAATGTAAGGGCAGTATGTTTTAAATGAGCTAAATCTATATAATACACCATAAATAATTATTTGTTTTGTAAAGATGAGTTAGACAAGTTCAGTACCTTCCATGATATTGCAAAGTCCAAGACAGTACATGAATAACATATCTCAAATTTAAATCTGAATACCCTTAAGAACAGCTCTCATTACTGGATCTCATAGAAATCCACTAGATTACCACTATGATATTATAACTCTTTCTTAGGTATTTTCTATGTGCATATCAACTATAAAATGCATTACATATTTATATCTCAATTAGCTGTAAATAAAAGCTAAATTTCCCCTGAAATAATAGCATGTCAATGATAATGATTAATTTCACGTGTTAGCTTGTGTCTGCTATGGTGCCCATTTATTTGGTCAAACACCAGTGCAGATGTTGCTGTGAAGGCATTTTTAAGATGTGATTAACATTTAAGTTAGTAGACTCTGAAAAAAGTAGAAAATTGTAGATAATTTGGGTGGGTCTCATTCAATCAGTTGAAGGCCTGAAGAACAAAGACAGGAGGTGTTCTGAAAAAAGCAATTTGCCTCAAGATGGCAACTCGGAAATTTTCCTGAGTTTCCTGCCTTAAAAATTCTGATTCAAGACTGCAAATCAAATTCTTTCCTGAAGTTTCAAATCGGCAGTACACTTTCAGTATTCCTTTAAAATAAATTCATATTTCTGCTCTCGTTCACCTTCTAAAATCTCCTGTTGGTTCTGTTATTCTGGAAAACTGTAACTGATACACTAGATTTTTAGAGGATTTTTAAGTTGTTCTTAATGTGGACAGTTCTGTCTATCCTTCAGAGGCACTTGCTACCAAAATGTAGAATGAAACAGACACAGTTTATTAAACAAAATTTCTCAAATAAAATTTATAAAGTTATGAAGGCAGCATTCCTTCCCCAGAAGAATCAGCACAATGGGATAAGTTAAGTACTTGGAAAACAAGGAGGTCTTGCTCTAAATAATAGATATCTATAGAGAATGAATTTTAAAGATACAACACTTACCATTTGGGTATGGCGTTTCACACAGCGTCAGAAAGTCAACAATTGAGTAGTCCATTTCTAGCACTGCAGTACTTTTCCCATGCATTACTGTTAAGCAAGGTCTTCTTCCTACAGTATCATACGACAAACCTCCTGATAAAATAATAAAAGGTTCCCTGGAAATAAAATACACAGTTAGGATTATAAACAGCATAGTGGAGTCTGTCTTCTTGCTGTATCATAAATTCTTTTTTAGTGAAATAATAAAATCTTAAATTTTAACATTTTTTAGGCACCTTTTAATTGATTACTCACATGTAGATTTTTAAATTGCAATAGGTAAAAACCAGGTGAATTCTTAAAAATTAATCTACAGTGTGTATGAACACTGACCACATTCTATTCTCATATCCCCTTTTGGTCCCTATATTTTTTTCCCTTTATCCTCTTTATACAATTTTCAAAAAATTCTCTCTGGGTTTCTTCTGTTAAGTCTCTTAAATGTACTGCGATTATTTTCAATCCTAATAACCAGATCTTCTCAACAGAAATTCTAAGAGAGAATGTGAATACCCTAAAGCACCCATTATATGCAATGAATTAACTTCTCAAAGATGCATCAAGAATGTACTAGCCACAAATCACCCCTGAGAAAACTGAAAAAATGGTCCCTCAAATCATTTTCTGTAGTGCTTAATTCTCTCCTGGAAGCTGAGCTGGTAATCCTCAGAACTACAACTCCCATGCACATCTATCAACTGCCCTTTTGACACTTCTAATGAGCCCTATAACTTTGTCTCCTTAGTAGTCATTAGTAAATGTAATGATTTACTTTTAAAAGCTACATATTTAAATATGAAAAGAATAAAAATACCTAAATATCCTTTCATATGTTTTGATCTATGTGTATTTCTTGACTTCCTTGCCCATGCTTTTCATCCATGTTTTATTGGATTAGTATCTTTTCTAACTGTTTTCTAAGAGTTCTTTGCATTCTACGGAAATCAGCTCTTGATCTGTCAAATGTATCATCCCATTTGTTGGTGGGGAGCTGTTCATGGAGCATCACACAGAGGATTTAAAACGCTATGCTCTTCTTAAATCTCTTCATTTATAATTTCTGAGGTAGTTTCATAGTGTTACCTCTAGGTTCAGGGTAACTATTCCCCTCCTCTCACACCTAGTACAAGTAGTGTGTGATAATATGTAATGTTGAACATAGCTAGTTCTGGAACTATACTGCCTCTATTTAAATCTCAGCTCTGGCTCTACTTTCCCCAAGACCTTGCATAAGGTGCTTAATCTTTCCTTGCCAAGTTTTTGTGTCTATATAACATGGAGCTAGAGTGGTAAGTATTGCAGTTCAGCCACTCAGTCGTGTCCGACTCTTTGCGATCCTATGGACTGCAGCACGCCAGGCCTCCTTGTCCATCACCAACTTCCAAAGCTTGCTCAAATTCATATCCATTGAGTTGGTGATGCCATCCAACCATGTCATCCTCTGTTATCCCCTTCTCCTCCTGCCTTTAATCTTTCCCAGCATCAGGGTCTTTTCCCATGAGTCAGTTCTTTGCATCAAGTGGCCAAAGTATTGGAGCTTCAGCATCAGTTCTTCAAATGAATATTCAGGACTAATTTCCTTTAGGATGGACTGGTTGGATCTCCTTGCAGTCCAAGGACTCTCAAAAGTGGTCTTTAGCACCACAGTTCAAAAGCATCAATTCTTTGGCGCTCAGCTTTCTTTATGGTCCAACTCTCACACCCATATATGACTACTGGAAAAACCACAGCATTGACTAGATGGACCTTTGTTGGCAAAGTAATGTCTCTGCTTTTTAATATCCTGTCTATGTTGGTCACAGCTTTTCTTTGAAGGAGCAAGCGTATTTATCCTCAGACAGTTACTGAATTAATTAATATACGCAAAGCACTGGGTTCAGTGCCTGGTGTAAAGAATTACCTATTATTATTATCATTATTTTCAAATCATCATTCACTGAACTAATTATTTTGCTTATTGTTTTCCTCATGAAAACATGACCTCCATGAGGGGAAGGGTATTTATCTGTTTTATTCACTGCTATATGCAAAACAGTCTGTTGCTGGTAAATAAGTACATTAACAAATATGTTTGTTATGTTAACCATTGTCTAGCTTACTAACATTTAGATTTTTCAGCACTAAACTGTTTTGTGTAACAGACCTATACCCATACTTTCACTGTTCTCAATTCTTGATTTACTGTGATCATTGACTGTAGTCAGGAAAGTATATTTAATTTTCTTCTACTTTTCATTACATACAGTGAATAAACAATATAACTCTTCTGTATTCTGACATACAACATACAACTGAATATAAAATACTAAAAAGGGTGAAGAGTCTAACAACATACACTTGTAATTTCAAAAAAAGTCTGACAAGTTCATTTTTATATATATAAAACTTGCATTATTAATACAAGAACTATGAATAGGAAGATGCTAAGGTACATTACAGAATAAAATTCCCATGGAGATACTAAGTAGGTATTGACAGGTAGGTAATCAGTTTATTAGACAAAGTCTTAATATGGTTTAAATAACACCATGGCATTTTGTTAAGTCTGTCCTCAAAATGCAACTATGTGTTTGCTCAGTGGCCTTGTAAATGCCTATACTTCTTTTGTAAATTTAGGAGAAAGAAAAACAACAACAAAAAATTATGGGTAAAATACATGAATAAGAAATAGCGTGAAAGGAGTATCAAGGTAATATTCTTTTTCATAATAATAAAAGTTTCCATAATTCAGCAATAAATGCATGTGTATGCATATTTTTTTCTTATGGGATGTTTTTAAAAAATCACAACTGTTTGCCAGGCAGGAATTACCTGACTTACAAACTTAATGTCCCAAATCTTGGGGCATAAACATTAAGGAAATAAATATTTTACCAGAAGAAACCAGTCTTAAATACAATGATAAAATTGGGTTAAATATTTTAACATTGGACATGTAAAACTATAAAAATTCAAGAGGTTTGTTGGCATTTGGAATTATATTCAAAGTTCTAGGAATCTAGATTACTTCTAGATAATATGTGAATTGTGGATGTGGATAATCTTTTTTTAAATAAATTATGCTTTTTGATGTTATAATAAGGTCTGGAAGTAATATAAGTTTTATTCAAGAGGCTGCCCTTTGAAGGCATCTAGGTTAGGAAGGCGTTAGTTTGAACTTTTTGCAATTTTGATTGCTCTTTTTAAGAGGCTAGACACTTCAGAAAATCACACGCTTCCTGACTCTGGTTAAGCCCCCGAGGCTGGCCGTGACAATAGATGTGGCTGAAGTTGTGTTTCCAGGTTAAGCATCCTTCATTTTTTCTACTCAAGAAGTCATCTGTGTAACCAATTCGCTCAACTCAGTCCCATAATACTACCCATTCACCTGTACTCCTGAGAATAAAATGGTGTTTTCATGCTTGTTCTAGACATACAGTTAACACACTGTGACAAGTATGAAGACAATAAAACAGGGCGGAGTGCTGAATGTGAGGGGGGCCTAGAGGGGCTACTGTAAAATAGAGCAGCCAGGAAAGGTCTCTAAAGTAATGACAGGTGAACTGCAATCAGAATGAAGAGGAGCCAGCCGATCAAAGATCTCGGGGTTGGAAGAGACGGATATACAGTTTAGACTGCAGGAATAACCACCGCAAAGACCTCAAGTCTAGAATGAGTTTGGGTGACCTGAGGAACTAAAAGGCCACCATGGTTGCAACACATTGAGTAAAGCAATACATGGTAGATGACATGATCCCAAATTTTGCAAACACATCCTGTTTACACCATAATGATCTCAAGAACCTGACCATATTCTATTTCATCTTCTTAGTCAACATGAGTTCTGGCCCTAATAACCTCCAACTTATATTCTTACAATAGCGTTTGGTTGTTCATTGCCTGAGATATACTTGCCCCTCATTTTGTGTTGGGCTAATATCTGAAAGAGGTGGGAATACCTGACCTGCCTCTTGAGAAACCTATATGAAGGTCAGGAAGCAACAGTTAGAACTGGACATGGAACAACAGACTGGTTCCAAATAGGAAAAGGAGTACGTCAAGACTGTATATTGTCACCCTGCATATTTAACTTATATGCAGAGTACATCATGAGAAATGCTGGGCTGGAAGAAGCACAAGTTGGAATCAAGATTGCTGCGAGAAATATCAATAACCCCAGATATGCAGATGATACCCCCCTTGTGGCAGAAAGTAAAGAGGAACTAAAAAGCCTCTTGATGAAAGTGAAAGAGGAGAGTGAAAAAGTTGGCTTAAAACTCAACATTCAGAAAACTAAGATCATGGCATCCAGTCCCATCAATTCATGGCAAATAGATGGAGAAACAGTGGAAACAGTGTCAGACTTTTTTTTTTTGGGCTCCAAAATCACTGCAGATGGTGACTGCAGCCATGAAATTAAAAGACACTTACTCCTTGGAAGCAAAGTTATGACCAACCTAGGGAGTATATTAAAAAGCAGAGACATTATCGCCCAATCCATATTTTTCCTGACCCATCCTTCCTGAGTTGGATGCCCTTCCTGTGTTCCTAAGCACCCTCCACATACCTCTTCTCAGCATTTCCACACCGAATTTTCATCATCTACTTTCCAATTGTATTGTGAGCTCCTTCAGGACACAGAATGGTATTTAATCCCGGTACTCATAGGCCCTGGGCAAGGTATCCCCAAGTGTTTTTGTCACATACGTTGTAAACATCACTAAACCTACTGCTCAGCTGGTCACTGGTACTAGACTTACTGACTCCTGCAGGAGAAGCCCTGCATCTCAGTCAGATTGGAGAAGGAAATGGCAACCTACTCCAGTAATCTTGCCTGGGAAATTCCATGGACAGAGGAGCCTGGTGGGCTACAGTCCATGAGGTCTTAAAGAGTCAGACACAACTTAGCAACTAAACAACAACAACATTGAGAAGCACTGTCTAAAGAAGCTTGAAATACAACTGCTGTGCTACTCTGATACTCTTCTGCATAATTAGTACTCTTACCTATATTATTTACTACTCCTAAATATTTTTAAGATTGGAATTGAAGTTCTAAATACGTAATCTCATATGCCACTGATTTATACTACTAATCTTATCAAATTCCCCAAGTTTTTCCAAATGAAGATACCCC